AAAGACGGTGAAGACTCACAACACTGAGCGATAGATCATTGCTGCACTGGTGGATTTCCGTTTGCACCATTCCAAGTGTATAGCCAGATTAAATATGTTAAGGAAGCACAACAGCCGCTAACGTTGGTGATCCCTGAAAAAAATGAAAAAGATCCTTCGTACATACTTGCTAGCGAAGGATTCACTTTTGTATAGACCTACAGCAGAAACAGAGAAAAAAAATATATACCGTTTAGGCTGCATGAAAGCAATAATTTGATGAAGAAAAAAAGTATGCTATCCAGACTTGATGAACTGAGTAAGAAAACAGTTCATGGGCATTACTATGCCGCCTTTACGTCTGATGAAATTGACCTGGAAAAGTTACTTGCTTGGGTTTGACGGAGAAGACTGATCGCAGAAACAGGATTTGTAGTGGCAATGCAAGATCAGAAGGTACTTAGAAAGAACCATAGAAAATAAATCCTAAGCATCTCGAATCAATGCGGGATATGCGGCAGGACAATAGAATCATACCCATTCTAACAAATCATATCGATGATCACAGGTATGTCGGTTAAAACCATAAGAACAACATCTCATCCAATGATCGCATTATAAGATCAACGAGGACAACTGAAGCTCACAGAAAGGCTAGTAAAAATGCCAGAAAGCCGTTGTTCTGGATATATGGAGAATAACGCGAAGGAATCACATATATTAGAAATTTGTAGCAAGTCACAGCTAGTCGGCCATGCTTATTTCCTTGATGTCGGCAACAACGTTGTTCACAATTCGGTCCGAAACGCCAGAAGGGCTTAATTAAAGAATGCGTGGTCTTCCCGTCTGTGACTTACCAAAGCATTATATACAATATAAACCAATGAAATGAACCAGCTTTAAACTCACGCATTACCTAGCAGAAAAATGTGTTTCCTCCTCTCCAGAAATCGCCGACGCTTTACCGAGCTCGTGCCGACGTACTGGTACAGATCGGTGTCGTTGCCATTGCTAATCATACAGTGAAACAGGCTTAGGGCGCTCTGAGGCACGCCGAGGTCTCGAAACATATTCAAAATGAAGTTAAGTGCTTTCAGTTCTCGTTCAACGTCATATGAATCGTCACACTGTCGCTTTTCATGGTCGTACGGAAGTGATTCTGGCTTTGAGGTATCGAGGTTATCCTGAAGTTCCTTCAGCGCCATTACAATCGACGGGGCGTACGCCATGTTCAATTCCTCGCCTGTTGGAGGACATACGAAACTGGCCACCAGACGACTTTTCGAAGACATCGACGATGGACTATCGACGTTTGGCCATGCCTAAGATATGATTTTCTTAAGTTAACAGAGATAAAACTTTGACACAGAAAAATAAAATACCAAACAACAGAACTAAAATAAGAAGGTTATGCATAAGGATGCTCTGGGCAAATATAAATACAGTTGTATATAAATTAGTTCCAGCGAATACAGGCAGCGAATAGCGACACAAAAGTACAGGTCGTAAGGTGGAATAAATTTCGGAAAAGATACGTTCTCTAATATCTGCAATACTGTAAATGGTTGGCTACAAAACCCAAAATGGTACGTGAGTTCCGTGTTCAGTGAATCAGGGGGCTAAGAAACATTCTACGGCCGTAAGACAAATCCGCAAAAAGAAATATTGCAACTACAAACCGGGTGGAAAGATCTGACATTACGGCTCAAATTTAAACCGGAAGAGAGCAGAGTGCATGCGTTATCCTTCAGATTGGAAATCCGTACCTACT